GTTTACCAGGACCCAGACCCTTAGCAAGGGATAGGCTCCTTGGTGGCATTGTGAATTACAGATTTGTTTTATCTACTTTTTTTGCTGTTTATTTAAATGGTCGATCAACTTCCCTTAGACCGAGGAATGAATTCCACGAGCCTGTTCTGAAAATGCGGACATGAGACACACACTTGCCCGTCCTTTAATGGAGTTCACCAGCACACTTGTTAACCAGTCCCGTTTGCTTCCGTCTTTTTTTGTGCGTAATAAAGTCAACTGACCAAGTGACCATGAAGAGGGGCTGTCTAGGGCTCCCATTTTTTTAGCTGCTGTTCTTCAGCTCCGACCATGTTGCTGTGTGATTATCTCAATTGGTTTTAATTGAGGCAGAAACTGAAGCTCTACCAATGAACTGTTTAAAAACAAGACACTTTTGTATTAAAATTGCTTGCAGTAACAAATATTTTGGATTTCCTGATTTTCTTTTCAACCATTACCTTATCTATAAATGTTATCATGGGGTAGCCTCATGTTAGGACTTAAATGCATTATGCAAATCAAAATATCTTGATGGAAAAATTATAGATTTTCTCTTATTTTATCCTTAATTTTGTTTAATACGGCTGGGCATGGTGGCTTACGCCCGTAATCCCACCACTCTGGGAGGCTGAGGCAGGAGGATCATTTGAGTTCGGGAGTTTGAGACCAGCCTGGGAAACATAGTAAGACCTTATATCTACCAAAACAAGCATGGTGGCAACATGTCTGTAGTCCCAACTACTAGAAAGGTTAAAGTAGGAGGATCAAGGGCCAGGCACGGTGGCTCACGCCTGTAATCCCAGCACTTTGGGAGGCCGAGGCTGGTGGATCATGAGGTCAAGAGATCGAGACCATCCTGGTCAGCATGGTGAAACCCCATCTCTACTAAAAATACAAAAAAAAAAAAAAATTAGCTGGGCATGGTGGTGCGTGCCTATAATCCCAGTTACTCAGGAGGCTGAGGCAGGAGAATTGCCTGAACCCAGGAGGCGGAGGTTGCGGTGAGCCGAGATTGCGCCATTGCACTCCAGCCTGGGTAACAAGGGCGAAACTCCGTCTCAAAAAAAAAGTAGGAGGATCCCTTGGGCCTGGGAAGTCGAGGCTGCAGTGAGCCATGATTGCACCACTGCACTCCAGCCTGGGTGACACAGCGAGACCCTGTCTCAAAAAAAAACCAGGATATTAACATGAACATGTAGGTTATCTGTCCCACTTACATGATTAAACAAATATAATTATGTAAAAAGATAGATACTAGAAATCATGGAAATCCTGGGGTCTGAGAGAATGGGACCAATTTTTCACACAGTTACAGCACGCTGAAATTTCTGATTAAAAGATATAATTTCAGAGGTGGAAGCAAAATTGGTCATCAAATCTAGCTCCTTTGTTTTATAGATGGAGAAACTGGGATGGGAAAGTAGAAAGTGATTTACCTTAGCTCACGAAATGAATAAATGACAGAAGCGAACCTTGAATCCAATCCTCAACTCCCCATTCAAGTCCGGCACTTCTGTTTCCTCCAGCCTCTAGTCAGCTTTATAACACAACAGCCAAATGTTAACCTAGTAACAACAAGAAAAGGGCTAGAGGCTTCGGAGGTAAAGGGGCTGAAACTCATGCCACCTGTGTTCTTGGTCATTAGGCTGCATTCCTTATGTGGGCATGTGGTGGAATCGACGCTTGTTTGCCAAAGCTGTTTTAGGCCCAATCTCCAGATTGAAAGGAATTTGGAGCCTAATGGATTCTGAAGGAAGCGCTTACTTTGTTCTTCATGGAACCGAGTGACTTCAAGCTGCCAGGACTTTGCACAGGGAAGTGTTTTCACCCTAATTGGCTTCCCCTTCTAGGCCTCTTAGCAGCAGAAGCATGCGAGACCAGCTTGACCTCCATCTTCCCAGATTCTGGACTGTGGTCTAGAATCTTTCCAAGTAATTAAGGTTTTCTGGGGTTTTGTGGCAAAGCTCAGCTGGCAGTGACACCAACAAAAAGTACATTTGCTTTTTTTTTTTGAGACAGGATCTCACTCTGTCACCCAGACTGCAGTGCAGTGCAGTGCAGTGCAGTGGCTCAATCTCAGCTCACTGCAACCTCCGCCTCCCAGGCTCAAGCGATTCTCCTGCCTCAGCCTCCTGAGTAGCTGGGGTTACAGGTGTATGCCACCATGCCTGGCTAAAAAAAGTGCATTTCCATTCAATTAATGCCTGCACACTAGACCATGTAGGAAATAGATAGTAGGAAAAGGGTTAAAGTATAATTACAGGCCTGGCCCACGCCTGTAATCCCAACACTCTGGGAGGCTGATGTGGGTGGTTTACCTGAGGTCAAAAGTTTGAGACCAGCCTGGTCAACATGGTGAAATCCCATCTCTACTAAAAATACAAAAATTAGCCAGGCGCCTGTAATCCCAGCTATTTGGGAAGGCTGAGGTAGGAGAATTGCTTGAATCTGGGAGGTGGAGGTTGCAGTGAGCCAAGATTGTGCCATTGCACTCCAGCCTGGGTGAAGAGTGAAATTCTGTTTCAAAAAAAGTATAATCACAGTCCTGTGATAGAAATGCTAAATGAGGAATGCAAATTTGGTGTCTGCTGGGACCTTGAATGATGCAATAACACTGCTTACCTTAAGGCAGTGATTGTGCTAAGTGCTATATATACATTCTCACCAAATAACCCTTAACAGTTCTATGATCATTAGCCCCCTTTTCTTGATGAGACACTGAACCTCAGAGAGGTTAAGATCACAGAGTTGCCAGGTGGCTGGGAAAAGCCCCTGCTCAGACACTGCTTTCTCCTAGAAACCTACCCTACTTCAGTTCCCTTCCAGTCCTAGTGTTCTGGGATTCCACTCACACATCGCCTGCTCCTACTTCCTAGCAAATCTGCCCTTCCAGACACTGCTAGCTCCTCTGTGGGAGCACAGCTTTCATGCTGCCTTTGGAAATTACTGTGTTCACCAGCTATCACCCCTGTTGCTATGGGGGCTGCTCAGGGGCAGGAGGCTTGTCCACTCCATCTCTGGCTCAGGTCAGAGCACAGAGCAGCCCACAGTGGTTGTTGCTGAACTGAATCGTGGGTTGAGGCCCTTGGAATGACTAAAATCTGCAGTTTAGTTTTATAGGAATGTGAAGCCCGTTGTTTAAAGAACACAGCTCTATTTCCACTCATCCTAAATTGAGAAATGATTTCAACTATAAGAATCAGCCCAGCACTGATCAGCTTGCAGACTAGCTGGGAGCCCAGCATTGTACAAAATAAACTTCAGACTTTTACAGCCTGCATCTAGGGCCTCAAGTGATGTGCTGTGGACTCAAAAGGGGCATGCAGAGAGGACAGTGAAGGGGGTGTGGGCAGGAGATTGAGACTGACCAATATGACATGGGGACAAAGCCGTGTGGATTCAGCCTCCTAAACAGCTTTCACCTCTACCCATTCACCCCATCACCATTAGAGGCTAATTGTCATTGTACCAACCCCAACATCCAATTATTGTACCTGACTCTAACTGCAGGGCCCTGACTCCAGTCTCCCTCTGATCCATATTCTGCTCTGCTTCCATGCTCTGTTCTTGGGTGCTTTCGGCGTTTATTCTGAATTATCCTTAGTTCAGTATCCTTATGGGACAGTCCTCAGTCTGAGGAGTAGCCTGGGCCTCAAGGCGGTAACGTCTGCATCTACAGGGCTGGAGCCCGGGGACGCGCAGAAAATTTACGAGCAGTGTGGAAATTTATCTGTTGGGTAAAAGACAAATTAGGCATGTGTTTAAGGCACCAGCAAATGATTGTTCAGATTAAGAATTTAATATAGAAAATTTTTTTGAAGTGATGCCATCAAAATGTGATTTTGGAGGCATTATACACTTGCTTGGAGGTTTAATCTTCAATCCACGTTGGGGTCACCATAATCCCTGGTGCCCAGGGCCCTGGAAAATGGCCCTCATCTAGCCCCTGGAAAAAGGGACCCCTTGCGGTCCCTCCCTTGCCAGTCCCTCCAGCCTCGGCCGTTTGCCCCCTGGGCTCTCTAGGCTCCACTAAGCAGCTGCCCACCTGCCCCAGTCCAGCTCCACTGCTGTGACCTGGCATAAGTCCCTTAACCGCTGTGTGCCTCAGTTTCCTCATTTGTTACCAAATGTACCCCCTCATATGTACCCCCTAACAATGTGTGAGCATTACAGAAATGACACGGGACATGCACTTAGAACATGCCTCACACGTGGCAAGTGCTGACTGTTACCTGCCATTATTAGGCTCCCCAGCCAGGGTCTCAGGGCCTTGGCACAAGCTCTTCCCTCTGCCTGGAACACTTTCCTTCACTGACCTTTCCTGGTGCTCCAGGTCAACTCCAGCAGCCTTCCCAGGGCAGTCTAGGTACCTTCCCCTTCTGCAGCGCCTGAATCACACATGAATAAGGCGAGAGCGAGCCCAGGGAAGAGCAGGGTGTGCAGAAAGGGGCTGAGTCAGTCCAGGAGTTTCCGCGAGGATCCTTCTCCCGCCAGGCCTGCACGGGGGCTGTGGCACTGAGAAGATGTGCACGGGTGGCTCCCGGGTGCTCTGGAAGGGCCCCAGAGCTCCCGGCCGGGCTGGAGGCCGAGTCTCCTCTGCGAAGCTGGATCAGTACCGGGGGCGCAGGATGTAAAGCGAGGGCTGGCGGGGGCGGGCGCACGCGAGAGCCAGGTGGGGGGCTCGGGAAGGAGCAGCGGAGCAGGTACTGGGAAGGAGTCGCCCGCAGCAGCGCACGCAGGGGCCGCGGGGAAGGCGCCAGGAGGCGGCGAGCGGCAGTGGTGGACCGAACCCAGGCCGGCTGCTGCGGGCAGAGGAACGTGCCCCACCCTCGGGGCTTGGCTGGCACCGCCTGGCCTCCAGACAGGGCTGCGGACGCGTCTCGGGCCCGGTGGCGACCCCCGTATACCACGGCAGGGCGGCCGGGTGGCACCACTGGCGGGACCCGGACCCGGGTCCTGCTTTCCCTGACGGCGTCGCAGCCCTAGGATCTCTGCGCCGAGGCCCGCGGCGGGAGTCACCACGGCCCTGATCTCGCTGACGCCCTTGCTGCCGACCGCCCGCCCGGGCCTCCCACCAGCCATGCCGAGGTAGCATCTCCGAGTCGCCCCACCCGCGACACCCGCTGCAGCCACGGGCCCCCCTCGCGGGCGTGGCCTCCGCGCCCTGGCCCCGCCCCCGCGCCCCCATTGGTCGGGCCTGGGGTTGGGGGTGCGGGCGGCACCGACGGCTGGGCCGGGACAGAGACTCGGGGGAATCTCACCACTCGGGTCGCTGCCGGAGCTCGCCCGTCGCCCTCTGCGCTGCACGGACCGCGGCCACAACCAGACAGGCGGGCACGACTGCGACAGACGGATTGACGGACAGTCCCAGCCCGCGGAGTAGCCCCGGCCTCGAGGCGCTGGCGTCCGCGTCCTCTCGGCCCGGATCCTGGGCAGGTGCCGCGCGGAAGGCGCTCCGGGAACAGCGCTGAGGCCGCGGACCGCCAAGCCCAGCACCCCACTCGCCGTCGGGGCGTCCCTGGGCCCAGAGGCGGCCGCGGAGCCGATGCGCGCCCTCTGAGCACCCCCGGCCCACCATGGCCGCGCGCCCCGGCCCGCTTTGGCTCCTGGGCCTGGCGCTGTGCGCGCTGGGCGGGGATGGCCCCGGCCCGCGACCCCCTCCCGGCTGTCATCAGCGGCGTCTGGGCGCCCGCGAGCGCCGGGACGTTCAGCGCGAGATCCTGGCTGTGCTCGGGCTGCCCGGGCGGCCCCGGCCCCGCGCGCCACCAGCCGCCTCTCGGCTGCCCGCGTCCGCGCCGCTCTTCATGCTGGACCTGTACCACGCCATGGCCAGCGACGACGACGAGGACGGCGCGCCCCCGGAGCGGCGCCTGGGCCGCGCCGACCTGGTCATGAGCTTCGTCAACATGGGTGAGTGGGGACGCCCGCGCTCCGCAGGGACCCTCGGAGTGAGCTGACTGCAGGGGAGTGTGTGCGTCAGCGGGCGGTGCCGGGCCCTGGCCAAACCGGGAGTCACAGGCGGTGGACGCGACCCCCAGGGGAGTGCGACCGCCGTGGCCAGGGAAGGTCTAAGGGTCCTGGGCACCCTGGGCTGCGGGGTGGTCAGGAGCAGGGTGGAGGGAACTGTGGACTCCCAGGGGAGTCCTTCACCCTGCCTTCACCTGCCCCAAACGCACCCAGGTGAAGGCAGTAAGAATCAGGTGATGGTCTTGCCCACCTGGGCAGCCCCAGGAAGACAGCCTGGTCCTGGGAGACAGGTGAGTAAACAGAGGCCAGGTTGCTGTCACTGTGATAAGGGCAGTACTGAGGAGAGGGCCAAAGTTCAGCGTGGAAACCTGTGGTCATATCATCAGAGTGACCAGAGCTGACCCGGTTCCCTGAGTCCACAGCAGGCTCTTCCCTGTGCCGAGCCTGGGTGGGGTGCTGCTGTCAGGGGAGCGGCTGTCAGGGGAGGGGCTGGGGAAGGAGCAGACCCTGCCCGGTGGGGTAGGGACTGCAGCCTTGTCACCCTGGGCCCAGCCCCTGGGATGTGGCCTGGCGTGGGTCGAGTGTCTGGGCCTGTGGAACGGCCCAGTGGGCAGCTGGACCCACTTTGTTCTCCCAGGCAAAGCCCAGCTTTTCCTGTCTGCCAACATCATCTATCAAACCCTGGAGCTATTTACTCCTTAAGAGCTCAGGGATTTTTTTTTGCAGTGCTAAACTCTTTGGTCTGTGGTCGTGTAGTTACTGTTGGTCAGGTTCCCCACCTGCTTTGCCTCCTCTCTGTGGCAAGTGACAAGCCGGGGTCTGGGGAGCCAAGGACAACAGCTCACCCCAAGGTGGGGGAGCTGTGGGGCTGAGAGCAGGGAGAGGGTCCCTGCCCAGGTCTCTAGCCTCCCTCCACCGACAGCATCTTTCATTCTCCATCCTCACAGCAATCCTGGTAACAGCCACGGTCTGCATCCCCATCTCCCAGATGAGGACAGTGAGGCTCAGAGAGGCAGCGCCATGCCTAGGATAGCACAGCCTCTATGCAGCTGAGCCAGGACAGACCCAGGAAGCCTGACTGTCCATCCAGTGCTCAAGGAGATGACATCTCTGTTGTCAGGTCAGGTTTTCAGGGTGCAGAGAGCTTTCTGAGGAGTCTGGGCCGAAGAACCCAGGGCACTGAGGAGCAGCAGGTTTTGTGGGGCTGTCAGCCATTTGCTTCCTACACTAGGGCAGAAGAGGGCATGGCCAAGCCTCTGCTCCCCGCCACCCAGAGCTGGTGGTGGGCTGAGGTGGGGGCGAGCAGCAGGAGGCAGCCATTCACCATTACTGAGTGCCCAGTGCCAGGCACAGGACTCTGACCCAGGGGATCTGGATGCCACCTTCCTAGTTAGAGGACAAGGTGGGGACATGGGACAGAGGAGACCATCTGTGAAACTGGGGCTGGGGCTCTGTCATCAGGACAGGTTGGCCCTGGGCACAGGACCAAGAAGACTTGTGGATGGAATCGCCCAAGAATGTCCCCTCGGGAGCTGCCCATCAGAATGAGTCACCACCCAGCCCACATCCTACCTCCCCTGGTATCCCCTGGATCAAGGCATGCACAGCCTGGTGGGGGCTGTGGCTATGAATTGGGCAGGAGCTACCCCTGCTGTGTGACCTTAGGGAAGTTCCTCACCCTCTCTGAGCCTTGGTTGCTCCTTGGAAAATGACGTGCCTGGTGATCTCTCCTCAGGGTGTGTACTTGGTTGATGAACAGGGAGGAGTAGAAAGCCTGTTCCTCTTTCCTCGGATGGTGAACCTGGACCTGGCCTCTGTCGGCCCCAGGCCCTCCCAGCTATGGCCTGGTTCGGAGGTGACAGGAACATCTCCACCTGTCTTGTACACCTGTGAAACCTAGAAACGGATTCTAAAAGCCAAACAAAAGGTGTTTGTACCTGTTTCTAGAATGAAAAGTAGCATGTGAACTTTCACAGCCTACAATTCCTCATTTAATTCATGTGAGACTGTTTTGCCAGCCTTTGGGCTCAGGGAGGTTAAATGGCCAGCCCAGGGCCACACAGCACATCCGGGTGAATCCACGGCTGTGGATTCCAAAGCCCAGCTTCTTCCCACATCAGCTCTGCGTGTTTCATTAAGACCCAGAGCCTCCAGCGCTGTGGGATTAACAGGCATGTCATTGTTAGTGGAAGCCCAGGCGGTGGGTGGGCACAGCCAGCTGTCAGAAGGGCCTTCTTTATTCTGATGTGCTAATTGCACTAGTGGAATTCTCTCAGAGTAGCTTTAACTGGCAACTACTGAGGCCGTGGCAGGGTGGGAGTAGACACGTACCAGGATGCTGTCCATGTTTGGAAGCCCCTGAAGGTTGGTGGCCCCAGAGGCCACCACAGGATCTAATAGCACGGTCGCTGGGGTGTCACTGCCCACACCCAGGCTCCCACACCTGCTCCCTCCTGCTCCACCTCTCCTATCAGCCTCATCTGGCTCCCGAAAAGCCAGGCCTGGTACCCCTAGGCCCCAGCTGTTGATGGCAGCCTGTGGGACCCAGAGGGTGGGGCTGTCCCAGGCTCCCACCGTGGCTCAGGCTTCTGTGCAGAGCCGGTGCTTTAGGAAGTCAAGCCTTTGTTCTGATGTTCAGAGCTTGCATTGGGAGGCCAGGGCTGGGGGCAGAGCCAGGGCCCTGCCTCGCCTGTCGTCCATATCAGTCTGTAGACCTGGGCTCTCTTGGGCAGGACAGTGATGGAGCAGGTGGATTCTGTCCCTGGTCTCTCTGTGCTCAGAGAGGAGAGAGCCCTGGTCTGGGAGGCAAGACTCAGATTCTTGTGCTGCCTGGGCCCACCATTAACTCCTGCATGTCCCAGGTTGTGGCCCTTCCCTTCCCTGGGCCTCTGCTTTCTCGTCCATTCTACAGTGATGGCATCAGAAAGGCAAGGTGCCTCCCATCCCTGACCCTGCAGCTCTGTGGCAGAGGCGTCTTCTCACAACACCGCCCATGCCCTGGCCCCAGTGCCTCAGGCTGGCCTGGCCCCTCCTGAGGGAGGAAGGATTGCAGGAAGGACCACCTCTGCGCATTCCTCCCAAATCCTCCTCCACCCTCATCAGCAGAGAGGCAGGTGCCCATGTTCCAGATTGAGAAACTGAGGCATAAGCAGGACTAGCAGGCAGAAGTCCAGCCAGGATCAGAATGCAGGCATCTTCTCTTTCATCGTGATCCCTTCCTGCACCAGACAGATTTGTTCCCGTGGTCTCTGGTGGCCATGGACAGGAGTGTTGATGAACTGAGCCTTCTGGGTTTGGGAGAAGCAGGACTGAGTGGGAATTCAGGACCTGGTCTAGGTCCTGCTCTGCCCTTGCCAGCTGTGTGACCTGGAAGGGTGGAACCATCTCCGTGGGCCCCAGGGCCACTTCCTTTGGTTCTTTACTAGGGACTTCTTTCATTTTCCCATTCATTCATTTATTCACCAACCTATGGTGCTCCATACCATGGAGCACCTACCACGGGCCAGGCACAGTTGTAGTTGCTGGGGATATAGCTATGAAGAAAGTAAAGTCCCTGCCCTCAGGGAGACAGCTTTCTAATTCGAGAGACAAATACATACTTGAGCTCTAAAGGTACTTGTTGGGTGTGCTAGACAGTGATGCCCCATCTGTAAACAGGAGGGGCTGAACAGTAGCACTTCAGCCTGTCACCCAGGCTGGGAAGCAATGGCATGATCTCAGCTCACTGCAATCTCCGCCTCACAGGTTCAAGTGATTCTCCTGTCTCAGCCTCCTGAGTAGCTGAGATTATAGGCACGCACAACCACACCCAGCTAACTTTTGTATTTTTTGTAGAGATGGGATTTCTCCGTATTGGTCAGGCTGGTCTCGAACCCCTGAACTCATGATCCACTTGCCTCGACCTCCCAAAGTGCTGGGATTACAGGCATGAGCCACCATGCCAGCCCACAGTCCATCCATTCTTAAGGACATTCGGGTTGTTCTGAATACTGTTATACACGTTCCTCAGTGGATATATTAAAGTGGGGACTTTAGTCTTGCATGTGTTGTTTGGGAGCTGTGTGACGCTGACAGCTTGCTGGAAGTCTGAAGCTCAGTTTCCACATATTCAAGACAATGTAAGTGAGCCGGCCTCCCGGGGTTGTGTGCAGTGTGGCCAGCTGGAGGCTGACACACAGTAGGAACTTCACAGATGGGGGCTGATGGATTGCACCCCATTTCTGCACCATTGCTCATTTGGAAGCCCCTTCATAGAATGCACTTACCTCCATTTTTGTTAGGTGAAAACTCCACCTAACTTTTAAATGAAGGTGGGTCAGGGTTTCCATAACCTCTCGGCCCCTACACCACAATCCCATACGGGCAGGCTCTTTCCTGGCAGAAGTCCCACCTGCATTGCGTGCACTTCTCTTAGGATTCCAGTTGCTTTCTGCCTGTGCAATCCAGGGGCACACCTAGCCCTTCTTTCTTCTACTCCTCAGCAACCCCGGAACAACCTGAGAATAGAGACCAAGTCTGACTCTTCCCCGAACCCCCCATGGTGCACACAGTCCCTGTGTGGCAGGAAGTTGAAGGAAAGAGGAGCCCAGCCAGAGGCAGGGAGCACAGAGAGTCGGGAGGAGCCTGGGCCTGGGTGGGTGGAACAGAGTGGGGCCGCCCTCCCTGTCTGTGTGGGGCCGACGATGGGTGCCACAGCTCCCTGGGCCCTCCCCTGGGACCCCGAGTCCCCAAAGGGCCCTGCCTGGAGGAAGGTGGCTTCACGGGCACTCTCGGGTGTCTGTTGACAGGAGGGCCTTGTGGGCGGGTGACCCCCATCCTAAGTCCCATTACCTCTGGGGCCACTCATTTCACACTGGCCCCAAGTGTGAACATCCACATCATGGGCCTCCAATCTGATGAGTGACCCTGGAAATCCTCTGCCCCTTCTCAGCCTCAGTTTCCCC